GGGCTCATGTGCTCGCCAGACAGAGAGAGGACAGAGAGATTCACCAGAAAGACAGAGAGAGACAGAGAGATAGAAAGCGAGAAATCACCCCCGAGAGAGGATGGCCAGGCCACAATCCCTTCCCCTCCATTCTTGGCACACATGCACATGTGCCTAGCGTGAGTTTAAGCCACTGGGTCCAGGCCTCAAGCCACGGTTGACTACATGGGAGTTCAGCGACACAGACATTATGCTAACTGCTGGTCCTGGCATTTTTCTATTTTAAAAGTTTAAAAAAAAACAAAACAGTGCGATCCGCATGCCGGGCTTCTCTCAGTAGGCTTGCCATGGCAATGGGCGGCAGCGGCAGTGGCCTGGAGCAGGACTCAGTGCTGTTCCGTCATGGCACAGGCAAGAGTGATGATTCCAACATTTGGGACGGTACAGCATTGATAAAAGCTTCCGAAAAGCTGTGACTTCATTTAAGCATGCTCTAAAGAATGGTGACATTTGTGAAACGTCAGATAAACCAAAAGGCATGCCTAAAAGAAAACCTGCTAAGAATAAGTGCCAGAAAAAGAATACCACAACTCCCTTGAAAAAGTGGAAAGTTGGTGACAAATGTTCTGCTGTTTGGTCAGAAGATGGCTGCATTTACCCAGCTACCGTTGCTTTAATTGATTTTAAGAGAGAAATCTTTGTTGTGGTTTATACCAGGTGTGGAAATAAGGAGAAACAAAACCTGTCTGATCTACTCTCACCAGTCTCTGAAGTAGTTAATAATATACAGAGGAATGCTCAATAGAATGAAAATGAAAGTCAAGTTTCACAGATGAAAGTGAGAACTCCTCCACATCTCCTGGAAATAAACCAAATAACACCAAGTCAAAAGCTACTCCATGGAATTCTTTCTCTCCCTCCACCATCCCCTATGCCAGGGTCAGGACTGGGACCAGGAAAGGTGGTTCTAAGATTCAGTGGCCCACCACCACCACCACATCCCAACTTCCTGTCATGCTAGCTGCCTCCATTTCCTTTTGGACCACCAATAATTCCCCCACCACCTCCCATATGTCCAGATTCCCTTGATGATTCTGATGCTTTAGGAAGTATGTTAATATCTTGGTACAGGAGTGGCTATCATACTGGCTTTTATATGAGCTTCAAACAAAATCATACATTTCAGTTAAGGAGTAAGTCTGCCTACATTATGAAATTGAACCTCATTTTTGTATAAATTTTATGGTTTGTGGAGAACAGATGTTTTAGAAAATTTAATAAATGAAATGTTAAAAAGCTGAAAAGTTAATATAAACCATATTAAAGAGTGTTAAAGATGCCAAAACTATTAGATAGAAGATATGCTTCCCTACTAGAATTCTTGCTGGTTGGCTGTGTGGAAAAAAATATTTTTATAATAGATTCTTAGGATCTGATTTCACTCTGCATCACTAGTATTCACAGACAGCCATGTGTACTTTTTGTTTTATGATGCAATATGAAATATGTGTTCAGATAAAAAAGTTTACCTGGAATTTAGTCAGTTTAGATTTAATTTACCATTTGCAAGATGTATTGGAGATAGAGCAACAAGTTAAATGACACCACTAAAGAAACAATCAGGTCCCAAATGTGGAACATTGTAAAAGATAACTAGACTATTTCCTCAAAATACCAATGTCAGGGGGGAAAAATGAGATGGGTGGGTAACTATTCTAGATTAAAAGTTACTTACTAGATATAATAGCCAGGGAACCAGCAGTTAGTATAATGGCTATGTTGCTGGACTCCCACGTAGTTGACCGCGGTTCATGTCCCAGACCTGGTGGCTTAAAATTCACACTGGGCGCGTGTGCGTGCGTGTCCAAGATCCCAAGAGGAAAATGGAGGAGAAGGGATTGCAGCGTGACCATCCCCCCTGGGGGGTGATTTCTCGCTTTCTGTCTGTCTCTCTCTGTCGGGCAAGCGCACGCGCCCTATAGCAAAAACCTCTCAAAAAAAAAATAGATAAAATAGCCAAATGCAATGAGTGATTCTTGATTGGATCCTAGTTTGAAAACCTATTTGTAGAAGACAAGGAGGGGGGCATTAAGGAAATTGAATGTGGACTAGATTTTAAATGATACTAGATAATTTTTCTAATTTTATGACCTGTGATAAAGGTATTGTAGTTTATAGGGGAAATGTTATGTAATTTGCATTTGGGAATGAAATAAAACCATTTTAAAATGGTTTTCAAAATGTGTGTGTGTATACTCATTGAACTACTTTTTTCTATTTTCTGTATGTTTAAAGTATAATAAAGTACTTAATTTTTTAAAAAACTGGAAACAAACAATAAAACAGTGATGGGACCAGACAGTGGTATAGCAGTAAAACTTGATATTCTGTGAGGCTGGCCTTCATAAGAAGCCTCCAAATTCATGTCTGGAGTTCTCCCTGAATACACCAGCCAGATGTGCCCATGATTCAGGCTGCCTGAGGATAGGCAAGGAAATTACACTGTAAAGACCCTGCCGAGGGACCAGCAGATGACAAAATGGTTACATTGCTGTACATAGTCACCCACAGTTCTGAGTCCCAGACCTGGTGGCTTAAACTCATGCTGGGCACATGTGCATACATGCCCAAAATCCCAAGAGGAGAATGGAGGATAAGGGATTGGGGCTTGGCTACCCCACCCCGGGGTGGTGTGTGTGTGGGGGGTGATTTCTTACTTTTTGTCTGTCTCTCTAGTAAGCACCCTATAGCAAAAAACTCTCTAAAAAAAAAAAAAAAAGGAACCAGCAGTTAGCGTAATGGCTATGTCACTGGACTCCCATGTAGTCGACCGTGGTTCGTGTACCAGACCCAGTGGCTTAAAACTCACGCCGGGCGTGTGTGCGTGCGTGCCCAAGATCCCGAGAGAATGGAGGAGAAGGGATTGCAGTGTGACCATCCCCCGTGGGGGGTGATTTCTCGCTTTCTGTCTCTATGTCTCTCTCTGTCTGGCAAGTGCACGTGCCCTATAGTGAAAACCTCTTAAAAAAAAAAAGAACCAGGGGCCAGCAGGTGGCATGGTGGTTAAGGGCACTGGACTCCCACATGGCCAACTGCAGTTCAAGTCCCAGACCTTACTTTCTCACTTTCCTTCTCTCTCTCTCTCTCTCTCTCTGTTACTATCTGATTAAATTAAAACAAACAAATAAATACAATAATTCTTTTTTTTAAAAAAAAAGGACCAGCAGTTAGCGTAATGGCTATGTCGCTGGACTCCCATGTAGTCAACCGCGGTTTGCGTCCTGGACCCAGTGGCTTAAAACTCATGCCGGGCACGTGTGCGTGCGTGCCCAAGAGCCTGAGAAGAGAATGGAGGAGAAGGGATTGTGGCGTAGCCATCCCCCCGGGGGGTGATTTCTTGCTTTCTGTCTGTCTGGCGAGCGCACGCGCCATATAGCAAAAAACTCTCCAAAAAAAAAAAAAAGACCAAGAGTCCCGTCTGTCTCTGCCTCTCTCATTGAAGGAGGGAAACTAACTAAATTACTGATAAAAGTTATACACTAGGAATTTCTCTTTCAAAGAGCCTAGGCAAGAAACACATAGAAAAAAACATTAGGGGTACTAGCAGATGGCATAAGGGCTGTATTGTTGGACTTTCATGTAGTCGACAGTTGTTTGAGTCCTAGACCTGGCGGCTTGAAACTCACACCGGGTATATGTGTGTGCCCAAAAATCCTGAGAGGAGAATGGAAGAGAAAGGATTGCAGTGTGGCCATCCTCCCTGAGGGGTGATTTCTCGTTTTCTGTCTCTGTCTCTGTCTCTCCAGCAAGCACATATGCCCTATAACTAAAATCAATCCCCCATGTGTAAAAAAAAAAAAAAACAGAAAAAAGCCATTGGCAATAAATTCTCCACCCTTTTAACATAGTGTTTATTTCCTATGCTATGACCCACACATGAGAATTCCTTTTCCCTAGAGAAACAATGAGAAGTCAATGATGAACAGAATCTGACAACTAACCTCGCGCTTGTGAGATGACAGGGAATACACGGACAGTTACCTGGCACAGGTAGGCCCACAGGCTTGACCACCCACAGAGCTCCAGCCGGCAGTCCCCCAGGTAACATAGAAGTACCACAGGCAAGGTCTTCCAGTTTTTCAAAAGCATAATGCCAAATGTATAGGCAAAATGTCAAAAATTTGACATGCAGGTCAGATACATCAGTCACCAGTTTTCCAACTATTCTCGGAAAAAAATAATCCTGGCCAGCAGGTGGCATGGTGGTTAAGAGTGCTGGACTCCCACATGGCCAACCATGGTTCGATTTCTTGCTCTCTGTCTCTCTCTGTCTGGCGAGCACCCTATAGCAAAAAATCTCTCAAAAAAAAAAAAAAAAAAAAACTAATCCTGCACCCACCCATTGCAAACAGCAGGATATTCAAGACTCCTGATTTATGATCCACCCAAGGGCAGGTGTGGAGGCCCAGGAAGGTCACAAGGACCAGCCCCTCAACCCTCTCAATGCCCACTCATCTATCATACTTGCTCACAGGGATCCTCTGTGCAGTTAACAAGGCTTCAAGCAGCAGACGCCTGGCCTCCTCCAGCCAGACATAAATTCTGCACACCCAACACCTTCCCTCCTCTTTCCACCTTCAGTAAGAAAGTAAAGGACAAATATAAGAAGGAGCAGTTGAGAGGAGATAAAGACATATAATGCCTTAAGTTTTCAAAGAAACACCAGCTGCACCCACCACACCCAAAGAACTCATGCTTATAAACCCTCCATTACCAAATCAATCACCAATACTGACACTTGCCTTCAAGCAGTCAAACCATAAGTTCCCAAAGTCACAAAATAAAGATAAAATATTAAAAACAAAGCCATAAGAATTTCCCCACCTTTGTAAACTATAATAAAATCCTTTTTCCCTACGTTTGCAAGGCAAAAAACAGACCAAAGACTACTTTGAATAAGTTACACAAGCCATAACTAGAAGAAAAGCGAAAAGTCAAAACATGTTGCTGAGTAGATCTACCTGAGCCACACATGCCCCGCTTGCACCATCAAGGGGGTCACTGCATGATGTGCTTCTGCCAATGTCCCCTCCTCCAAGATGTCCACTTTCCTCAGGGGCTACCGGATTCTCCGCCTGGACAGGCGCATCGACAGCCGAGCCCTTCCTCTTCGCCGTCTTTTTCTTCGAATGCGCACAGTCACCTTTTGTTTTTCTCTGTCGGAAGTGAGCAAGCTGTGCAAAAATGTAGAGAGGTAGTAAAGGCAAAGGTAAGTGAGAAAAAAACAGCAGAGCCACAAGGTCAACAGACTCGTGGGGAACATGAGGCCCTTAGCTGGCCCAGTCCACGCAGCCACACCGGGCCGACAGATCTCTTTGCAACAAAGGCTGCCTTCATTTACACCTATGGGGATAGGATGAAGTTCAAAACTACATCCAGAAAGTCTAAGAATGAGGACTGTTAATTGTGCCTACACACAGAAAAAAAGGAAACAAGTCTGATTTGCAGAATAGCTTTCCTAGTTTCTAGCAGAAAAAAAATGTTTAAATAGTTTAATATGTCTATTTAATAAACTGGCAGCTTAATCGAGGCATATTTAAGGTATAAAACTACCTAAAAGCTACATCTCTCCTTTCTTGTCTCCATTTTCCCCAATCAAGAAAAATATAGCCCAGCCAAAACTTCCTAGCCATAGATTCTGAGACAAGGCACAGAAATAGCAAAAAATTAATTAAGTCAGGTCAATCTAACATCTTCCTTTATGGAATCAGATGTTCTATTTTTCATGACACAGCTCGCCAAAGCACCAGGGACCTCACCGAATGTCGCCCGTCGGAAGGCACTCTAGTTCTGCTCAGTCCCACAGATCCCAGAGTTTTAAGCTAGTTCACGCACCACCTCCACTAACACCTTACTCAAAGGCATGAGAGCTACAGCTTTTCGCCAGAACATTTGCATCGTCAAATGACAACCGTACCCACTAAGGCAAATGCACTCCGCCTCTATGTAAATAAAAACGGAAGGCACAATTCCCTGGACACATGGCCATCTCACCGGAGGAGCAGGTCCCTCCTGCAGACAGGGCCCCATCACCCACATTTCCCGCCCTCACCGGGGCGGTCCTGAAGGGGACATGTCCTGGTCCCTCACCTGCAGGCTAGGGAGGCTCAGAAGCGTCCAGTTCAGGAACCCTCATCATCGCACACGGGCGGGGACCGGGAAGCACGACCCTGGCCACGAGCGCGACACACACTTCAAACTCGAACCCTAGAGGATGGGCCTGGGGCTGTAGCAAGAACGACTCACGACCGCGGTGTGGTTTGTGTTTGGAACTGCCGGCCCCACGTGGAAGAACACAATGCATTTTCACACGTAGAGCAGTGTAAGCTTTCAGGGCACGGGCAGCCGCGCAGGCACAAGAGAACCTGCCTGGTCCGCGGGACCTGACCAGGAGCAGCAGCAAACCCAGTCGGCCGGGTCCGGGGAGAGCTGGCGCCAGCGGACCAGCCAAGCCCGCCCACCTCACCCCTTCCTGGCGTGACCCGCGCCCCGGCTGCCCGCGAGGAGCCGCGCTTCCCGGCGCTAATTGGCTGCGGACGCCGGGGG